GCTGGGTTATATTTAACCCAGCATTTTTTAGAGTGCACTAACAAATTGACCAAAAAATAATATAGCATAATTTAATATTTTTGCTAACTGTGAAGGAAAATGACATGATAAACCATTATATGTTACAATAACAGACCATTATATGTATTAAATTGTATCTGTCAGCTTTGACTTTTTCAGTGGGTCAGGCTTTCAGTGGGTTTACTCTTCACACATGAAATCACGACAGTCTCCACTTTCATTTAGTTGAAAATTCTGCATAAAATACTTCAAATTCCCTCCAAACTAAATTTCGGTCACTAATGTAACCGGTGGAATGCGATGGATTAAAACATGCTTTCTGAGCTGATACTTCATTCTTCTTGCTTTGTTTCTTCCAGTGTTATCGCTGCCCATTCCAGTAATGGGTTTCCAGGACAAGCAGAAGGTGTTTGTAAACGTCACCTGCACCCTGAACGAGCCTCGGTTCGTCCTTGTTGGCTCATCTGTGGCCTTCTTCGTTCCTCTGGTCATCATGGTGGTCTGCTATTACCTCACTCTCCGTGATCTCCAGAGGCACAGCACTGCTTTCCCACAAGAGAGCAAGAGCCACTCCAAACATTCTTCTGTGCAGACAAGTGACACGAGTCTGCTTAACAATAAGTCCTTCACTAACAAGTCTGCACAAGGTCCACGAGGCCAAGGCAGACGAGGCATGATTCAAGCTTTGAACAATGAGCGACGAGCCTCCAAAGTCTTGGGGATTGTGTTTTTTCTCTTCCTGGTCATGTGGTGTCCGTTCTTCATCACCAATGTGCTGATCGCCATCTGTCAGGACAACTGCAGCGAGCATCTCTATAACCTCATTCACTTTTTTGTCTGGGTGGGATATATCTCCTCTGGAGTGAATCCTCTGATCTACACCCTTTTCAACGAGACGTATCGACAAGCCTTCGCTCGCTATCTACGATGTAAATATCATTAAGATGTGCCGCAGAAGAAGACCCAGGTCATCCGATAATATTCACACAGTTACAGCATAATGGTTCAAACCGATTAATCGACTAGTCGAGTGCTTAATTCACTAGTTGACCATCTTGACCTAGCCTATCTACATATTTCTAATATGAGGCTGCCAAACTTACTTTCCCTTTAATGACTAAGAAAAATTGACCTGATGGATTGTTTGTTGTGAGTTACAATTTATTGTCCTTGTGTTACTGGATTTTACAAATGATTCAACAGAAGCATTACCTTATTTTGCAATGTGGAAGTAAGCTACTATTTGTGTGAAGTTTGAGCAGCAGAGCTGGGTAGTAACTGATTACATGTAATCTGGATTATGTAA